TCCTGCTGGAAGGTGAACCTCCGCCCCAGTCTCAAGTCTTTTGCAGACTCCAAGAGGTTTTCTTCCAAGATTGTCCTGAATTTGGCTCCATCCATCTTCCCATCAACTCTGACCAGCTTCCCTGTCCCTGCTGAAGAGAAGCACCCCCAGAGCATGATGCTGCCACCACCATATTTGACAGTGGGGATGGTGTGTTCAGAGTGATGTGCAGTGTTAGTTTCCGCCACACATAGCGTTTTGCATTTTGGCCAAAAAGCTGACCAGAGCAGCTTCTTCCACATGTTTGCTGTGTCCCCCAAATGGTTTGTGGCAAACTGCAAACGGGACTTCTTATTGTTTTCTGTTAACAATGGCTTTCATCTTGCCACTCTTCCATAAAGGCCAACTTTGTGCGACTAATAGTTGTCCTATGGACAGATTCCCCCACCTGAGCTGTAGATCTCTGCAGCTCGTCCAGAGTCACCATGGGCCTCTTGGCTGCATTTCTGATCAGCGCTCTCCTTGTTCGGCCTGTGAGTTTAGGTGGACGGCCTTGTCTTGGTAGGTTTACAGTTGTACCATACTCCTTCCATTTCTGAATGATGGCTTGAACAGTGCTCCGTGGGATGTTCAAGGCTTGGGAAATCTTTTTGTAGCCTAAGCCTGCTTTAAATTTCTCAGTAACTTTATCCCTGACCTGTCTGGTGTGTTCTTTGGACTTCATGCTGTTGTTGCTCCCAATATTCTCTTAGACAACCTCTGAGGCCGTCACAGAGCTGCTGTATTTGTACTGACATTAGATTACACACAGGTGCACTCTATTTAGTCATTAGCACTCATCAGGCAATGTTTATGGGCAACTGACTGCACTCAGACCAAAGGGGGCTGAATAATTACGCACACCCCACTTTGCAGTTATTTATTAGTAGTTCTATTAGGCGCAGGCGCTTTATTGATGACTCTGTCAAGTTTTCTTCTCTTTTTAATTTTAAACCTTCTTCTGATGAGGTTGACATCCTTATCAATTCTTTTAATGAACACTGTCTTGCCATTCTTAATCAGGTTGCTCCTTTCAAAACTAGTCATTGCACTGTTAGTTCCTGCACACCATGGTTAAATAATCAAACCCGTGGTCTTCGACGCTCCTGTCGAAAAAGCAGAGCGTCTCTGGAAGTCCACTGGGCTGGTTGTCCATCGGGAACACTTCAAATAACTTCGTCACTTATATAATGAGTCAGTCAAAGAGGCCAGATCCTCTTACTTCAATAATCTCATAAATCGTCATAAAAATAACCCAAGAATTCTATTTCAATAGTAGAGGCAGTTTCAATAGTATTGTTTCTCCTCCAACTCAGCATGCTGTGTTACTTTCTGACAAAGACTGTAGCACTTTCCTCAATTACTTTGTAAATAAGGTGATGGACTTGAGATCCAAAATCTCCTCAAGTGCCTCCCCTTATGAAGATGCCCCTTGTTGTCCCAGGTCATTTACTTCTTTTTCTCCAATCACACTCAATGACTTAATTGCATTAATAGGTAAAATTAAATCCTCATCATGCTCCTTAGATATATTACCTCCCTCTGTCCTGTCTGGGACTCTCACCAGCATTGGTCCCACACTACTATCCATCATCAACAATTCACTGAGGCAAGGCTGTGTCCCGTCCTATTTTAAACATGCTGAGGTAACCCCTCTGTTACAAAAACAGAATCTGGATCCTATCTCCCCTAGCGGTTATCGTCCTATTTCAAGATTGCCATTTATAAGTAAATTACTAGAAAAGATTGTAGAAAATCAGTTCAGGTCCTTACTATGCCGATTGCAGATTTTTGACCCTTTTCAGTCTGGCTTTCAAAAGCAGCTACGGAGACCGCTCTCTTAAGTGTCTATAATGATCTACTAATGGCATCTGATGCAGGAAATTGTTCCGTGATCATTTTGCTAGATCTTAGCGCAGCCTTCGATACCATCGACCGCAAAATCCTACTCAACAGGCTGAAGGTTCTGGCTGGTATATCTGGCACTGCCTTAGACTGGTTTTCTTCCTACTTATCAGACAGGACCTTTTCTGTTAGGACTGACAGGTTCTCCTCTAAGACTGCTGCCCTAACCTGCAGGGTTCCACAGGGTTCAGTTTTGGGTCCATTATTATTTTCTTTTTATATGCTTCCTTTAGCTGGCATTATTCAGTCTTTTAGTGACCTGTCTTATCATTTCTATGCCGATGACATTGAGCTGTATATGTCCTTTAAGCCTCATCAGCTGGATAGGCTGTCCACCCAAGTCCAGGCTTTAATTTAAATCTCTGATTGGCTTTCTAACAATTACCTTGTTTTAAACATGAACAAGACAGAGACCACGATCATAGCTCCTCCTGATCTATATTCTAAAATCAGTCAGGTTCTTGCCCCTTTCTGTTCTTCTGCTGAGCCAAATATTCGAAATCTTGGAGTAATATTTAACTCTTCTTTGGGCCTTGACTCACACGTAAAATCTCTGTCTCGTTCCTGTTTCTTTTATTTAAGGAATATTTCTAAACTGCGACATATGGTCTCCTCAGCTGAACTGGAAAAAATTGTCCATGCATTTGTGTCATCGTGTTTAGATTATTGTAATTCCCTGTTTACCAGCTTGGATAAATCATCTCTTTCTACTAACTCGCTCTAGCAAGCGAGCTCACATCACTCCTATTTTATGTTCTTTACGTTGGCTCACAATAGATTTTAGAATTCGTTTTAAAATCATTGTTTTAACGTACAGAGAACTTAATGGCCCCAGATTATTTATCCAAACTTCTCACAAAATACACTACTGCTCGCCGTCTCCGCTCACAGACTCAGATTTTGTTGGTTGCTCCCAGAACACGTCTGAAGACAAAAGGGGGCGGAGCCTTTCAGTCTGTGGCACCAAGGCTGTGGAACAGTCTACCTGTTTAAACAAGCTTTCTGTTGACCAATGCTTTTTACATTTTTATATTTTTAATTTACATTTAAACTCTACATTGTGTATATTGTGCATTTTGCTATTTATCGTACTGTTAATTTTAATCTCTGTGTGCAGCGCTTTGTGACTACCTGTCTATGAAAAGCGCTTAATAAATAAACTTTACTTACTTATTTACTTTACTTAATAATGATAATGATAATAATAATAATAATAATAATACATTTGAAAGCGCCTTTCAGAACACTCAAGGACACTGTACATGGTAGAATAATAAAAGCAACATAAAAACAAGCAGTTTACACAATCATAAAAGACATAAAAAAAATTTAAAATAGCAGACTGGAGAGGTTATATGGGATAAGCTATTTTGAACAAGTGAGTTTTGAGTTGGGACTTAAAGAGAGAGAAGGAAGAGATGTTTCTTAAATCAGGAGGTAGGGAATTCCAGAGTTGAGCAGCTGAAAGCTTGGCTCCCCATGGTGGCAAGACAGGGGGAGGGGACAGAGAGAGAAAGAGAAGAAGAATATCTGAGACACCGAGATGGGGTGGTGATCTGAAATAGATCAGATAGATATGGAGGAGAGAGATGATGAATAGCCCTAAATGTGTAGAAGAGTATTTTTAAATTTGATACAATATTTGACTGGGAGCCAATGAAGCTGCTGCAGGACAGGAGTGATGTGGTAGATAGATGGGGTCCTGGTGATGATACGGGCAGCAGAGTTCTGGACGCGTTAGAGCTTATGGATTGATTTTTGAGTAAGACCAAAAAGAAGTGAATTACAATAATCAATCCGAGAAGTAACAAGGCTATGGACAAGAATGGCAGCGGCATGTGGGGTGAGAAAAGGACGGAGACGATTAATGTTGTGCAATTGAAAATATGCAGACCAAGTGACATTATTAATATGTGAATTGAAAGATAGAGTACTGTCGAGGGTGACACCCAATCTTTTCACAGAGGTAGAAACGAAGACCGGCGAGTTATTGATAGTAACAGAGAAACTGTTGGTTCTGGATAATGTTGATTCAGTGCCTACCAAGAGAAGCTCGGATTTATTACATTGAATTTGAGAAAATTAGAAGAGAACCATGAATTTAGTTTGGCTAAACAAAGGGTGAGGGACGATGGAGGAAGAGCAGAATCAGATTTAGTGGACAGATAAAGTTGCGTGTCATCGGCATAACAGTAAAAATGGATATTGTATTTACGGAGAATGTGTCCAAGCGGTAGAAGGTAGATAATGAAAAGAAGGGGCCCCAGGACAGATCCCTGGGACACACCAGTGGTCAGAGGAAAGGGCTGAGAAGTAAAGGATTTGAGTTGAATAAACTGAATGCGATTAGACAGTAGGGCTGCCACAAACGATTATTTTGATAGTC